GAAGGATATTTTTGAACAATGGACCCAGAAGTTAATTTTAAGAGTATCTGCCTCTATAGATTGACTATGTTTAAAAAATGTTATGGAAGAGGAACAAGTTTTAGCGGATAAGACTGAGACTGATCTGAAAGTGTATTTAAAAAAATGACAAGAATGATACGGAAAAAGATGCTACACTAGACACACAAAAGAAACCGGCTAATAATTATGAGGGACATACAAATAACAAAGCAAGAGAGTGACCTGGAAAATTTTCCTATATTGAATTTACAAAAGATGCTTGTTAAAGTTTTGGAGAATTTTGTGAGAAGGGACAAAGAAAAAATGAAAAGAAATCAAGTTCTAGAACAAATCAAGTTCTAGATCTTTAGGGACTAAAGATCAAGATTGTTAAAAGTACAAGGAAGAAATATAAAGTTGATTTATTTGATCAAGGTTAAAATAGATAGTGTTATCTCTGATAACCCTTACTGGACTTTTGCTGATCAGGACTGAAACGAGGAGGTTTTAAGGATTTGTTTATAGATAAGAGACAGGATAGGAGAAAAAGAGATCATTTGTTGTATTTTAAGAGAAGGTGACAAGTTACTAAAATTGTTTATACTTATTGTGATGAAGGTAGAAGTCATTTCTTTCTTCATTTTCTCTGTCTTTACTATATTCTTTTTTTTTCCTATTTTTCCTATTTCTTTTTCTTTTCTGTATCTTCTATTTTTTATTATTCTTTCTTTTAAGTTTGTATTAGTTTTCTATCATTGTAGTTATAATTTTTAATAAAATTACTATTAAAAAGTTGCACTTCATTTTTTGATTAAATGCATTTGGTTTATTTTATTTTTTTATATATGTTTTCCAACTTTGGGGAGATACTTCAGTGGATAATATGCAACAAAAAATTCCTAAATCTTTCCCACACATATTTGCACTTCATTTCAAATTGTAGCTTCACTGAATGGACTGTATTACTTATACTTTCACCTAGAATTACCCTAACTAAAATGGATTTGTACCTATTTCTTAAAACTGTATTGCAGCAATATGTAAGAAAAACCACTATTAATACAATGTGTTGTCGAAGGCTTTCACGGCCGGCATACGATGGCTGGTGTGGGTCTTCCAGGCTGTGTGGCCGCGTTCTGGAAGTTTTGTTTCCTAACGTTTCGCCAGCACCTGTGACCAGCATCTTCAGAGTGCAGGAGCACAGACAGGAGCACAGACAGGA